GTGTTATCTAGCAAATGCTTCGGTCAATTGCTTAGCCCCTCACCTGCACCCTGTGATGAAAGTGCATCCAGCAATTGTAGCATCCATCCTGATCCCTTACTAAATTAGAAGCTGTAGTTGTCACCCCTTCTACATATTGAATCCTCTGCAAACTGCTTCAGTTCCTCAGCTCAAATCAGGAGGCCTTGCTTCTTGTCCCAACAGAAGGCAGTTGAGATTCTTCTTATTTGATTTTCTATAGGAAGATTCTTAAGGTAAGAGGGTATTATTGTTACTTCTAACTATAATTCATAAAGATGGTGGTTAGTTCCCCAATTTTTGTTTTTGTTTATTTTTTGAGATGGGTTTCACTATGTTGCCTAGGCTGACAGACCAAGTACTGGGACTACAGATGTGCATGACCTCACATGGTTTCCAATTCCTCTGGTAACAGATATGAAAAGAGAACAATGTTGTCCTTATGAGACAGCTGATCGTCCTCTAAGTGTGGATGACCTTCTAGAAAGTGTCTTGACTTTGGATATCTTAGCTTCCAAAACGGTAAGCAATACATTCCTACTTTTTAAAATAAATATTTTTATATTTTTATCCACTCTAAAATATTTTGTTATAGCAGCCTCATTACAATAATTCACACTGCCTGCCATATTGATAATTTTCAGCTACATTATGTTTACCAGTCCAGAACAGGAAAAATGATTTGAATGGTAAAAGTTACTGAAAAGTAACATTTGTTCTTAATTTTTTGCATTCTGTCTGGATGAAGGCCTGAGATTCTAAAGTTGTTCTTGAACCTAACTCTAACAGTTTATAATATGCTGTATTTTTACTACTCCAATGGGCTGGTGAGAGAAACCTACACCAAAAAAGCATATGGATTTAATATTCCACACTGGAAAATTAAGGACATCTGTTTATTTTGCCATAAACATTTTTTGGAAGTGTAAACATAAAGTACTGGTCCAATTCGTCAATATTTTGGAATGGATTTAGTGATTATATGTCATAATAAAATGAGTTGTGTGGGGTTTTTTTTCTGCAGTGAAAATAACCCCAAATTTTTACATTGTCAGTTAAAAACACATTAAAAAGAAACACTTTGAAAACTGAAAGCAAGTTTATTTTAAATAAATTTGGTTGGAGGTAGTCTAGTAGGTATCTTACTTATATCCTGAAGATATAAAAATTCATTTTTAAGAGTTAAAAGAATTGCATACCATGGCAACCATTTGCTGATATCTGAAATATTTCTAAATTTTTATATACTGTACTTTATTTAAATTGGACATACAGTTTTAATTAGTGTCACTGTGGTAGAATTAGCTTCATGTCCCACTGCAGGCTGAAGAGCAGCTCAGGTACCATAGACTTCCAACATAAACGATAATTCATAAAGGCCAATGCAACTCTTTTCTTTGTAGCTGGGTAACCATTTATGTTTGAGGTGAAGATGTTAATATGGAAATATCGTGAGCTAGGAAAGAGGACGAATGCTATCATTCTAATTTATGATCTTTCATATAAGGCCAAATGTAAAGGCAACTTCAATTGTCTTATATCTCAGGGCAAGCACACAGCAGATGTATGAAATTTGGAGTGTTACACATAAACTTTTATTACCAAATTATAAATAATTTCTCCCACTTATGATGTTCACCTTTCAAGTTCATTTTGATTAAAATACAAGGGCAGCTTCACAACGATTTCACTGAACTTTACAGCTGAGAGAGGTTTTCTGGAGTTCCTTGTGGAGCATAAAACATCACAGCATCTGGAAGTCTTTGCTCACAGGGATTCAGACAGAAGCCCATCTTTTCTGAAATTCAAGTCATACCAAAATGATGGCCGATGAAGTCTGAACATTCATACAAATATGTCAAAGATTGTATCTGAAACCAAGTATCCATGATGTAGAATACAACCCTTTGTAAAAATTAAAGACATACTGCCTTTCCTGAGACATGTGTCCATCCATCAATAATCTTATATTACTTCTCAGAGGATATTCAATAGCTACAGAGTGTTTTTCTTTCCACTTCTGTTAACAAATACTGTTCCCACGATGAACAGTAGATAACTGCAGGTCCAAGTACCCAAAACTAGAGCACCATGGCATAGGTGCTTTTTTTTTTTTTTCCAGCCTGAAGATCTAGGAAAGGGCTGGGTTCATGCTGGCATTTCAGACCAGCAAATGCTTGCTTAAATAAGACCAGCCACTGTTCTTAGAAGCTTAACACTGATGTTAGGTGTTAAAATCTGCTTTGGAGAGTGCTGGCCAATCCAATTCAATGTTTGCATTTATCATCACAACCATCCAATCACCCACATGTACACAGGGCTGCTGAATATTTTATAAAATAAGTCAGACATGATACCATCTCTTATGAACATGCAATATTGAAGGACTGGCTATTCAAAGGCATACATACAAAGAACTGTATAAGTACAGATCAAACAATGAAATGGCAAGAGTTTGCCTTAGTATTTTTATGTGAGCATTTGTCTATTTTAAGAGAAATACCTTTAAGAGAATGAGAAGACAAGTTACAGAATGGGAGAAAATACTTGCAAAGACATATCTGATAAAGGACTATTATCCAACATATAAAAAGAACTTTTTTTTTTTCAAAAACAAAGACAGGTGGGGCTGGTACCTGTGGGAGTGAGGCAGATGTAGGAATTGTTGTAGGAGGGTGAATATGGTGGGAATATTATGTATTCATGTATGAAAGTGGAAAGATGAGACCTGTTGAAACTATTCCAGGAATGGGGGAGGAAGGATAAAAGAGAATGGTGGCGGAGGTGAATTCAGCTATGATACATTGGAGGAACTTCATAAATATCACAATGTACCCCCCACTACAACAATAACATGGTAATTTAAATAAATAAATAAATAAGCCAACGAAAATAACTTAAAATTCTACAATAAAAAGAAGAAACTGATTAAAAAATGGGCCAAAGACTTAAACAGACACATCACCAAAGAAAAAATGCAAGCGAAAACAAGCAGATGCAAAGATAACTCTGTATCATATGTTATTAGGGAATTGTAAGTTAAGACAATCAGATTCCTCTATACACCTATTAGAATGGCCAAAATCTAAAACACTGGACACATGAAATGCTGGTGAGGATGTGGAGCCGTCAGATCACTCGTTCACTGTTGATGAGTGTGCAAAACGTTTAGAAACCACACTGGAAGACAGCTCAGCACTTTCTTACAAACCTCAACATATTCTTACCATGCAATCCAACAATCACACCCCTTGATACTTGCCCAAATAAGTCTGAAAACTTAATCCTGTATAAAACCCTGCCCATGGATATGCATCGCAGCTTTTTTCATAACTGCCAAAATTTGGAAGCAACCAAGATGTCCTTAAGTAATGAATGAACAAAGTGGTCCATGCACATGAAATCTCATTCAGCACATAAAAGGAGTTATCATGCCATGCAAAGGCATGGGGATTTGAAGTGCATATTGCTAAGTGAAAGAAGCCAGTCTGCAAAGGCTATATACAATATGATTCCAAGTAGATGACATTCTGGAAAAGGCAAAACCCTGGAGACAATAAAAAGATCAGTGGTTGTCATGGGTGAGGAGAGAGGAAGAGATGAATAAATGGAGAACAGGATTTTTCAGGCTGTGAAACTATTCTGCATGCCCCTATAATTGTGGATACATGTAATACATTTGTCAAAATTCACAAACCTGTACCACATCAAGAGTGAACTCTAAACCATGATCTTTGTGTGACGTTGTGTCAATATAGATTTACTGACTGTAATAACCAACCTAAGTAAGCTAAACTAAACTTTGACAAATTGCCTTTATGACTTTAAGGCTCTTTAATAAGTTAAGGTTATGCTCACGGATTTGAAGAGTAGTTTTTGAATTAGGAAAAGGGTTGTGTGTGTTTTCTTTGTATAATAATAGATACTGTCTATGGAACTAAACACATGTGAGATATGGCAAGTTGCCTTGTGAGTCAGTAAAGATCAATTCTAGGGTGCTCAAGTCTTTGTGGAGTTGGGCCCTTCCAGAGCTGTGGGCCTTGGAAAAAATAGCAGCTGCTCTGCGGATAAACCGGCCTGAAAACTACTACTTCCTGCCCAGCAGGCCCAGATCAATGGCTCCATCATGGCTCTGTGGCAAAGTAAAAGTAGTTATGAACCAAATTTTTTAAAGGATTAGGGGGCAATTTGATGTCTTTTATAAAGAAAGGCTTAAGGCAGCATTATATGTCCTAAGTGTTCTTTGCAGCTAGCTATTTGATTTAAATGGTGCTTTAAGTTTTTAAATTTATATAATATTTTATATTGCAGGAACTTCAAATACAGCCTTCTCAATAAATCTGTAACTATTTGGTCTTTACCCAAACCAAGCTTTTATAGAAGGATAGAAGAAAGTCTTTCTTCTTTACCAAATCACACCCAGTTGTTCTGTCTAGGATATCAAAGGTTTATTTCTTTTGCCTTTAGCTAAAAGTCACAGGAGAGGGAGCCTACTTTTTGTCTTAGGAAACAATTCTGCATCTTAGATCCTAGAAACACTTACAGGGTTAAAGATCTGTTGCTTGAAAATATTATCACATTTTTATAGTGTTATGTCATAAATAGAATTAAAATAAGAACTTTAAGCTGAGGAAGACATGTGTATAGGGAAAAAAGGAATCAAGTCTTGGTTGAAGAGTTTTCTCTTTCTCTTCCTTTCCGTTCATAGCAAAAAGATTGAGAACTTACGCAAACTTGCAAACCAAGCTCCCACAGCAGCACTTAAATGATATTTGTACACCATTTCCAATTAGAATTATAGTTTGTAGTGCAACACAATTTATGCCATTACAACTTGAGAGAGAGAGAGAGAGAGAGAGAGAGAGAGAGAGAGAGAGAGAGAGAGAGAGAGAGAGCGCCGACGTTTTCTACTTTAACCCGAAGGCGCCAGTTTGCCGCTAGACCAACCCGGGTTCTCGGATGCGCGCACGGCCTCGCGGTCCAGCCTTTCGGGTCCTCGCGGGCTGCCGTAGCGAGAGAGGCGCTGATTGGCTGAGCGGAAGGCGGCCGCTGCCTGCGCAGGGTCGGTTTTCGCTGCCGAAGTACGTGGAGGCCGGGCTCGCGGGCGCCTGGAGCGGGGCTTTTGGATCCTCGGCCGCGAGGTGAGCGCCACGGCCGCGCGGGCCGAGGTCGGGGCCGCGGGAAGCCGCGGGTTCGAGGCCCCAGTGTTCCGTGACGCTGCACGGCGTCCAGGGAATCCCTGTGCCTGCAGCGGCCGGGCGAGGATAGGGCCTGGCGGGAGCGGGGTGGAGCCCCGGGAGGCCGCGCTGGCCTCGGTCCAGCGGAGCGCCGCGTCGCACCGCGCTCAGCTCGCAGCCCCGGCTGCGGCGGCCGGGAGGCCTGGTGGGAGGCGCCCCTCCGGTCTCCGCCCCCCCGACTCCCCACCCGCCCGCCGGCGTCGGCTTCCCGGGCAGCCGTTCACCCTGGAACCCCGATGCTAACCCGGGGGCCGGCGGGAAAGCGGACCCGAGCCCCGGGAAGCGAGCGCTGGGCCCGCGCGCACCGCCGGGGCCGGGGTCGGGGCGCGACCCCCTCTCCAGGGTCCCCTGATGCGGGGCGCCCCCATCCCTGCGGAAAACTTAGTGAAGCCGTCCTCCGGCAGGCCGTTTTCTCCTGTATGTGCACGCAGCTGGCACGTCCAGTTTCTCCCTTAGCCCAGGGCTCCATTTTCACCACCTCACAGTAAACCTGGTTTTCTTCTTCCACTTGAGAACTTCTCCTGATTGGCTGCCTTGTGTCATCCATGTGAAAGTTCCATAAGTTATTCAGCCGTTTCCCCGACCGTGCGGCATGTTTGGGTTGTTTTTTGAGTTTTTGCTTCGTTTCATCATCCTAGATAATACTGTGAGAAGCTTTCTCCTCCCTGGGTTTCAGATTATTTCCTTGACCAGTTCTCAGCAGTGAGAGGACTACTGTAGATGATACGTCCTAATTAAGGTCCTTTTAGGGCCTTCATGCACTTTGCTAAGTTTTAGTCATTTCTATCACTCATGTATGACTGTGCCTGTCTCACCAAAACTGTGGTAGCTATACATTTTTAACACGTCAACTAGCAAATCAGGGCCTCTCTTTGGAGTTACTACTATTATTACTGTTTTGTTCTGTTGAGATGGTCTTGATATGTAGCCTAGGCTGGCCTAGAACTCATGATCCTCCTGCCTCTTGAATGCTGAGATTACAGCCATGCATCCCAAAACGACCAGCATCATCACTGTTTTTGATGGTGCCTGGCAATTCTGCCTGCTTGAATTTTGTGCAGAATCTTCAGAGGTATGTGTGAGAGTGAGCGTGTCAGTGGCGTTACTGCACAAACAAACAATGCAAAGCAGGAGAGACTTCAGTGGTCATCTTGTTTTTGCAGGTGAGGAACCTGGGGCCATGAGAGAGTTACCCAAGTCACACAGCTCATTAAGTAGCAGAGCTGGGATTAGAACTCAGGTTTCCTGCCTCCCAAGTGAGTACCCTTATCTGCTGCATCAGGTGTTCTCTCACTGAACTGTGGCCTACAAGATTCAAGAATTTAAGATGTTTGTAATACCTGGCTTATTCCCTCCTATTTGAATTATACTAATAGATTTTAATCGTCTGAGGGATCAGTAACACAGAAAAAAGGAAAGTAATTTTTTCATGTCCAGGATAGAAATCCATTGTTTAGAATGGCAACCCCTTCCAATTTTTGACATTTGTTTTCAGATTTTCTTTGTGCTGGAATAAGTTATACAGTTGTCCTTCAGTATCAGTGAGATTGGTTCTAAGACCCCATTCCCCAATACCAAAATGCACAAACACTCAGGTTTTTTATACAGAAGGTATAGTGTTTTTATATAACCTACACACATCCTCCCATATACCACAAGTTGTCTCTAGATAACCTGTAATACTTCATAGAGTGTAAATACTGTAAATAATTATATACAGGATTGTTTAGGGAATAATGACCAAAAAAATCTGTACATGTTCAGTACAGATAGAACCGTGGTAGGTGTAATTAGAATTTTTTTGAAGTATTTCTGATCTGTGGTTTGAATCCGCAGGTGTGAAACCTTGTTTTTGTTTTGGGCTTTGCAATAAGCAAAGTTTTTGAACCTCAGTTGACATTTTGGGTCAGATAATCCTTTGTTCTAGGGAACTGTACTGTGTGTTATAGAATGTTTAACAGTATCCCTGGCCTCTGTCCACTAGATACCAGTACCACACCCACCTGACAATCCAGACTGTCTCTAAACATTTCCAAATGTCTCTGAGTGTGGAGCACAAAAATCACCCATGGTTGAGAACCACTTACTTATAGGAATTATCTGGGGAACTTTATAAAATGTAAATGACAGTGCCTTTTGCCTAAGTAGGCTTCCAGAATCTGCATTTAACAAGCATCTCAGTAGACTTGGGTGCTTCACTTTCTTGAACCTGAGGTCAGCACAGGTATCTTCATTCTTACTCTGGCAAGAGAATAATTCAGGCAAGACATGAAATGTACTGAAAGTGATAGTAAAGTTCATGAGGAAAGGAGCACACTTTCGGTAGACTGAAGGCTGATTGTCTCTAGACTGAGAAAGGTAATATTAGCCTTTGAGGTTTGAGTATTTATTGCAATTGCCCATGAGAAATTTCTGTCCCTAGGTGCAGCCTACAAGGCTGAGATCAGGGGTAAGCAACTGAGTCAAGAGGCTGCAAAATTTACAAGATTACAACGTACAAATGATTATTGGGTCCACCTGACCTCTAAGGTATGGTTTATGGGACTGGGTTCTGTTAGTTAAGTCTTTCTTAATCTTTAGATAGGTGGGAGACTCAAAGGCATTTTGTGACAGTCCATGACCTTGGTGGGCTATTTTGATCTTATCAGGCTTGCCACCTGTGAGTTGGAAAGTTTAATTACAAAGTTCTCTCTCAGAGACCTTGTGATCTTTCCCTTCCATGGTCACCATTTAACGTTTGCCTGCTACCTAACATTTTTACCCCCTCAGGGGCTCCAGACCTTGAAGAATCCTCCATTTTTAGGTCACTTTGCATGTTCCCATCACTCATGGCTAACTGCTGCTTATCAGAACAACACAAAAATGTTTCTATTTTCTCTTCTCTTTCTGTTACTCAGTATGGAGGTACTACAAGATTAGTAGTTGTTGGAGTACATGCATGTTACTGTGCCAGTCACCATACTCATAGTTGGATCCATGGGGTGAAGATGGGACAGGAATTTTGCTTGGCACGGACCTTGAATGTCTCTTCTACAGACTTGAGCTTTGCTTAGTGGGGATACCAGATAAGTAAGTTTTCTCTGTCTCTGAGCAGCTTACACCCACTGTGGGAGACTGGTTGGCAAATTGAGAAATGCAAAGTAGTCTGAGAAGGGCAGTGACTGGAAAGAGGTGCTCTGTGTGGATTCCCTTGGCCTTTGTAGGGAGGGGAAGTATAAAGCCTTCAAAAGACACCAAGGCACTTCATTGTTCCTGAGGGAGCTATTTCTTCTCAGTGTGCGACGTCCTGGTTGTAATGTTCCCTTGCAGATTTTTGCTTTTCCATTTTTTGACTCTAAACTGTAAACACTGTAGGAGTCGGTAAGCATTTACAGGTAAACAACGCTAAGACATAAGGATTTTCATGTCTTCTCTTGGGTAGCACAACCCACAGTCACATCAGATATATTTCTTTTCAGGCTAACTTACAGTATTATGTCACTAGGTATTTTCTCCCAGTGCCACTGCTCCTGAACAGGTCTCTCACTGTCTCCAAGGCCGTTCCTAGGATTTAACAGGAACCCTGACATTCAAAAAGTCCAAGTGTGTGTACGTTTGAAACGGCTGAGGCTTTGGGGCCAAGCCTTGCCCCTGCCTTCCCCCTGAAGTCAATGTGAATTGCACATGAACCCAACATGGCCTGGCACATCCTTGGGTGAATAAAACCTCCCCCCACCAGTTGTTTTACTAAAAAACAAGGAAACCTCTGGTTTTGTGGGGTTTTTTGTTTTTTGTTTTTTTCTGTTTGCAGATATTCTAATACTAGATCTCTCAGTAGCTTCTGACAGAGAATACACTGCAATTGACTTAACAGCCATTTATGCAAGCCTGAGTAGGAATCAGGGGAGGGATGGGAGTCACAGAGGATGATTATGCTTTCATTTTGAAGGAAGTTTTACCAAGGTGACCCTGCAAAAGGAGGTCTTTTTCCTCATGTGTTTATAGTTCAAGAGTTTTATCTCTTGCTTTAGAGACATTCTGATTGTTAGAACCATTCCTTCTGCCTTACCCAATTTAAAAGATGAAAACTTAAAATTACTTGAGCCAAGTGATGGGAAAAATTGTGGTGTCAAGACCAATTTACTCATACAAAATGGATTTATGGGCAAGTCATTAAGTAACAGGGAATACCAAGAAGCCTAATGAAGACTAATGTAAAAGTTGTGGCACTCCTCAAGTGATGGATAAGATGCACTTGAGGCAACTATGTTCTTTCTAAATAACTTTAAAAATATCTTTTTCTAGAGCTCTAGCAGATTGTAGATATCCTAGAGAACAAATGAGAAATTTGTTATTAGTCCTCTCTTTCATGGGACTTACAGTCTTTTGAGGGAGGAGAGAGAGAAGGAAGGAGAGAGAGAAAGTGAGAATGATAGTGACAGGTTGTATCAAATAGAACCAAATGCCAAACTGTATGATGCTAGCACTAAGTGGAGGTGGCCTGTCTCCACTCTGCCACCTAAAGCAGAAAGTTAAGTTCTGGCTTGAAGCCTTCCCCCACTCCCTGTTCTTGGGAATGGTATTTCCCCAACTTGCCAGTGCATTGCAGTGCCCTAGGATTGTGCAAACCGATTCCTGGACCTACCCCAGAACTGCTGAACAGAATCTCCAAGTGACCCAAATGACTAATTTGGGAAACTGACCCCGAGGTTCAAACCTGTGCTCCCCAGGAATGAATGTGGCGCTGTGCCCTTCCATGGCTGTCTCTCTCCTTTGCCTGTGGAGATTTTACCTTCAAACTCAAACATGTTGTCCATTACCTTGGCTAACACCTCTTTTCAACTGGTGGATCCTTCAAATGTGGCTCAGATGTCTCCTTTCCAGAAGTGCTCCTTCCATCTGCCATGCCTGGCCTAAGAGTCTTCTCTCCACCATTCACCATGATTCTACCCACATACATGTGCCTTTGTGAAATTCTCCATTTCTGTGTGTTTTACCCCTTTGGAGTGTAAGCTCCCAGGCCCAAGACCATGTCTTAGGTGTTACATTCCCAGCCTGTGTATCAGACACTTCGTAGGTATTTCATGAAAATTGGAAGTGTTGACTGGCTTCAGGAAGAGACTGATGTTAATTGGAATAAAGATGACACTTGATGCAGGTGTGATCTTTGGCATGTTTAGAACATGTCTGTGCTTTTGAAAAGGTGCACAAAGTTATAATATCTTTACTATCAGTATTTATTCCAGGCTAACTGATAGTCTGGGTTTGTGTTTTTTTAATTGTTAACTTTTAAGCCTTCTAATTGTTGCTTTTCAAATGTTTTTTATTTGAAATACTGTAAATACTCAGGAATGAGGTGAAATTAATAATTAAAGTAGCTAATTGCTATAGTTACCATTCTGAAATAGGTTTTCACATCACAGTGCCTTTTGGTGGTTTTGCTAATGCGGAGTAGACAGCTAGTCTCATCTCCATTTTGTACACGAAGGGAATGGGGTGCAAGGACTGGGCATGTGTGATGAGTTCAGTAGGCTGCCTGAGTTGCAGTCTCTACAAGTGTTCACAAAATAGCACATGTGCAGGACATAAATAAGGTAGTTTACAGATGAATGAGAAGATTTGTTTGTTTTTACTAAACTCATTAAAAGTACTGAATCTGTTACAGTATCTACTTTGTCATTTTTCTCTTTACGCTCAAAACGGTAAATAAAACTGCTGTGTGGTCTGAATCTTGCATGAATGTAATTGTAATTTTAGTTATCTATTGAGACTGGAGTGAAAAGAAATGAGCTGGTAGTTCAGTGGAAAAGTTAAATTAACATTTGCTGAGAAAATAACCCGTCAGTTTTTTTTTAAAAATCTTTCAAGCCTTGTGGGGGGAGCAACTTGTGGATGGTCCAAATGATGATTTCTGAAATTTGTGTTGCATTTAATTTCCAATATTAACTTTTTGTGAGTTAAAGAAAATTGTTTTCCTTACATTATCCCTTCTATTTACTCATGCCACTTAAATAAGTTTTTAAATTCTTCTAGATTCTGAGTTCCCAAGGCAAAACTTCTGTGTATGACATGTTCTAAATTTCCTTACACAGTGTGTACATGCACACATTTGTTGAACAAATGAAAAACAGTAATCTACATTCCAGCTTATCCAAACTGCTAATGAATTGACCTGAGAATATCTTCCAACAATGATCCTAAACATGAATTCAGACCATAGGGTGGATATACTTGGAGTGAAATAAGTAATGCTATTTATAGAAGAATGTGGAATGATACTTTCAAATCAAATGATACTTTCAAATCAAATGATACTTTGATTTGAAAACAAATAAAAAACCAACTTGATATCTTGGGGCAAGTCCTTAAAATATTGTATCTCTGCTTTTATTTACTTTTGTTGAACTGTGGTTTGAACTCAGGGCTTAGTGTTTGCTACGCTGACATGGTACCACTTGAGACACACCTCCAGCCTTCTGTGCTAATTTTAAGCCTCAGTGATACATGCCTATCAAATAAAAGTGAATAAATGTCACTGAAACAAAAAATCTAATTTCCAGAGTCACTTAACTCTGCTTGAGTGATGAGTGTTTTCATTTATTTACTGAAATATTTTAGAGATCGCTGTTGTATAGCAAGATGAATTTTGAAAGGAGCAGTGCCAGTTTTATGTTTCATGCTGTTAATTTGGGTGTGTAATGTTACCTATCTGTTTCAAACTCCTATTATATTTGAGTTTTAAGATCTTTTTTTCTTTGCTATTTAGAACATGTCTGCTACAGTCATAGCTGAGTAAGCATTAGCAACTTGGAGAAAGCTGGTTAAGGCTGTGATTATGAACGTAGCTGGTTGTCTGCTTATGAGCTATGCAGCTTTGAGCCCAGGGCTTTCCTTCCTGTGTATCAGGAAAATGAAGATGGAGACAGTACCTCAGTGGATAGTGAGGTTTCAGCGGGTTCATATGTAAAGTGCTTAGAAAAGTGCTGGCATGTCGTAGACTCAATTCTTAGCTTTCAGTTATGATTATATTATTTTATAGAATTTAGACATCAGCTGTTCAGAAATGTGCCTACTCTACTTAATGTGAACTGCAAATGAGCCTTAATTTGTGCTTCAGCATTCCATCACATTTTGGTTTTCTCTTCTTTTATTTTCATCAGCAAACTGGGAATATTAAGAACTTCTCCCCAGAGTTCCTGTAAAGATTTGATGTGATGGTTAATAGCTAATAGATGTTAATACAGTTGTCACCATAAAATAAGTGTTCATTAAGTAGTGAAGGTAGTAGTGGCTGTCATGAGTGTCCTACCTGTGTGTGACGCAGTAGTGGCAAGTGATGAAGACAGAGCTCTAGTGAGGTTATGCCATGAGGCTGTTGTGGGGACTACATGAGATAATATATTAAAATGCTTAACTTGGTAGCTTGGTTAGTATCTGCTTCATGTCATCTGTGTCTGGTGGCATGTTACCTGTCATTCAGTGGTGGAATAACCATACAGAGTCTTTGTTCACGGTCCTTTGATATGATACTGGATTTCCTATAAATATGTTACAAGGTTACTTTTGTTGTTGTTGTTGAGTGATTAACTTTTGTCTTTATGTTTATTGCTCCCTTTCATATTTTTGATCAGGATTGTTGAAATGAGTCTGCGAAAGCAAACCCCCAGTGACTTCTTAAAGCAAATCATTGGACGGCCAGTTGTGGTGAAATTAAATTCTGGAGTGGATTATCGAGGTAATATTCTCATGTTTCATCCTCAGTGGTATAACTAAATAAGTAAGTGTGATTTACTGATGTTTATTAACTCTTAAATGTACCCAGTAGACCAAAAAAAGTGTTGATTATCAATAGTGTTTAATGTCTATCTCTGTGATGGTTCCTTTTAGAGAGATAATTCTGACAGAGCATGACCTTCTGACTTCTGGTACTATTTCTGTGAATTCTTTCTCCTGCCTCTGTTTTGAGATCACGTATACCTAAGTTCCCTGGTAATACACTAGGATCACAGGCATGAGGTACTGAATATCAGAACACCATAGTATGGCAGCATTTGTTTTTATAGAAGTGTTCGAGATTGGCAAGCCACCCTTTAGACAGTATCACTTTACAGTACAACTTTCCCACTCATAAAACATGTGAGTGTCAGAGAGAAATGGTATCAAATTCCATTTTTTTAAGGTTAGTAAATCCCAAATCTTCCATGATTAAGATATGTTAAATTACGTAGAATATTTCACAGCTATAGAAAACTGATGCACTAGTAAAGTTTTATAGCCTTTTCTTGGTCTCTTTTCTAAATAATTAGTGATACTGATCTCTTGATGTTTTTCTTCTTTCTACACATGCAAACAAATGTTACTGAGTGCTTACCACCTCCCCAGTGTGTGTTACCCACTTTAATACATTTTCATTTTATCATCCCGTAAGTCCATTGAGATCTCTTGATTATCCCCCCTAGGAAGGGAGGGTAAGCCAAATTTGACTCAGATGCCTTGGTAAGAAACCATTCATTGTAGCTCAGTGGTAGAGGGCTTGCATAGCATGTACAAAGCCCTGGATTTGATCTTTATAATGCAAAACAAACCAAAAGGAAGAAAGTCACTGTGTTTTACTGTTGTAGTTTGCTGACATTAATAACATTACCAGTTTAATTTGATTTTTATAGTGGAACTATTTATAAAGTCGCCGTTCTGTGTACTGCTTCTTGTCCAGAAGTTTGGATGAGCTGTAAGGAGGAGGATCCTAGACTTCCAGGGATTTCGGTGTATCTGACAATTTCTTGGGGTGGAGACCTATTACAGTCAATTTCTTCTCAGTGCCCACTTTTTTGAAATAATCAGCTAGCTTAGCTTTTGGGGAGAGGTTTTTTTTTTTTTTGTCTTTTCTTTTTTGGTGCTGGGATCGAACCCAGGGCCTCAGGCATGCTAGGCAAGCGCTGTACCACCGAGCTACATCCCAGCCCCTAGCTTAGCTTTTTTTTGGTCTACAATCTTTAAGGAAAATGTTTCTGTTTATAAAGGTAACACATGTTTATTTTTAGAAATTTAAAAGCAAATAGTGGAAAGTACATGGAAGAAAGCAAATTCCCCCTATTCTACTATCTGGGTGTAATCCATCCACCTTTCTAATTCTGACCCTTTCTATATAAACCTGATTAAATGGAATCAGCTGTACAGGCCACCTGATTTTTTTTTAATTGCACTAAGTAATACATTCATTTCTGTGACAATATAGAGATTTTAATAGCTGCGTAAGGGTTCTTGTGTGGCAATACCATAGTTTTATTTTTAACCCATTTCTTATTGATGTATACTTAGATGTTTACCAAGTTTTGCTATTATAAACAACTACTTTTTTGACACATCATCTTGAGCACTTGCCCAGCTGTCTCTGTAGGATGAACTCCCTGGGCTAGGATTTCTGCATATGCCGAGTGGCCTTGTATTAGATCCCAGATTTATCCTCCATGATCTCAGCAACTCTTACTAGCTTTTGTTTATCTTTTGCAATCTAATTGGCAATAAGTGCAATCTCATTTTTAAATTTTTATTTATAGTTTCTTTTTTGCATGGGTAGTAACTGTCACATTTTTCTTTTGACGAATGACTCTATGCTATTAAAACAAAATGTTTTGAGGGAGCCTACTACAAGAATGAACTTATTTTGTAGTTAAATAATTAAAAGAGTAAAGAATAGCTTTCTGTGCTACTTTAACTTGAAGAAAATTCTTGTTTTGGGTTATTTATAGTAGTCTGTCTCTTGGAGAAGGGAGACAGTTATAACATTGGCCTCCTGAGTAAGTTGGTTGGTCGGTGTTGTTTTTAGACTTTTGCTTTGACACTAGATATTTTGATTAGTAGTGAACATGGCATTTTGAAATAACCCTTTGGACCAATTTTCATACATGTTTGCATATCATGTAGAAGTCTCTTGCTAGTTTACCATTGTGGTTTAGACATAAGATCATACAGCAGAAAAACTGACAGTAAAGTTGTATGTTAAGCTTTCCTTTGCTGGGAGATAATTGTTCTTGATAGTTTACAGTATGTTCTGGTCCTTTAAAAGTTTACAGCTTCTCGCACAGTTCCGTTGGGTTAATGTCTTGTGCTCTCATTACATACCCACAGTTTTGAAAAGAAACGTTTTTGTTTAGAGGACAATGGGGCAGAAGCAGGGAGTGGAGAGCATGCTAATGAAGCTAAGACTCTAAATGAAACTATTGACTTGGCTAATCAAATTGAATCTAGTATGTATTTTTACTTTTTTTTCCCTGAGAAAATACCACTTTAAATTAAAGGCTGAAAGTTAGAGGCTTACAGATTTTCATTTTTTGGAAAAAAAAAATCTGGTCAGATTTTCTGAAATTTATACCATCTTAACACAATTAAAATGATTCACTCACACCATTTCCTTGAAAGCTCCCTGGAATGTTTTTAGCCATTTATCTCTATTAGTTTTGATTTGGAAACATTGTAACTGTAACAGAACAGAATGGGATGTGTTATAATGCAATATGTTGCCCTGTATTCTCAAGCTGCTCTTGACTGTGAGTCACAGCTTGGAGATGTTCTTTCAGGAGCACCTGCTGTCTCCTCTCCTATTATTTTAACAGATCGCAGAGACTTCCTCTTAACCCTGGAGTACATTCATCTGCTGCGGTAGATGTTGTGAAAGAGTGAGATAAATCTGCCAGATCTGAATTTCACTTAGTGACTAAAGAAATGCCACTGGAATCGAGGCTCATTTGTCCATGCAGAAATGCCCACTCCTGTTGTTAGTGTCCAGAGAATGGCATTTTAGTGGGAATATTCTAGTCTTGTGAAGGTTTTCAAAGTTGCTGGAGTGATCACGCATACCAGAGGGAAGGCCAGTGTTGCCCATGCGGTATTAGTGGGTGCATGACTGCTTGTATGCTATTTGCTTCTTAGCCTTCATTCAGACTGGCAGAGTGAAGACCCCACTTGTGCTTAAGTCCATTGAGTTTTGTTTACAGTGTTTTATTATTATTATTATACATCTGAGGGCTAATGATGAAAGAGATTCTCAGTTCTAAGTTATCCCTGTAATTTCTTCTTTTTGATTAAATCTTGCTCCAGGGGTCCTGGCTTGTCTGGATGGCTACATGAATATCGCCCTGGAGCAGACAGAAGAGTACGTAAATGGCCAGCTGAAGAATAAGTATGGGGATGCATTTATCCGAGGGAACAATGGTAAAGTTTCTTCACTCTATGGTGGTATCTGTTCAAAATAGGCCTTTGTTTATCATCAGGAACACCAGACGACTTTCCAGATCACTTAAAAGTTCAGTTTTAAGGTTTGACCACATGGCTCAAGTGTTAAAGTGCTGCCGGAGAAGCGCAAAGTCCTGAGTTCAACTCAGCACCACCAGAAAAAAAAATTCTGTTTTAGTTATGTTTGTTTTCGTTGGTGCTATATGCTTGTATCTTGAATCTTCACTGTGGCCAATTGGTTTTTTTCATGGTATTTTGGAACTAGAAATTCTCTTTGCTCCTTTCACTGATGAGGAGCTGAGGGACATTGATAAACTGGCCTGGGACCCTGTTCTCTGAGGTATCATTTGTTTTATTCCTCCAACATACATTCTCAAGAGTCCAGAAATTGGAGCTATTAGAGTGAATGCTGTTTTCCCGCTTCTATATTGGGGATATTTAGTTTACATAATTGGGCCCTTAGCTTTTCCTGTTTGTCCTTTTTCTGTTAAGTATTCAGATACTTCTTGTGTAACTGTGTACCTCTAACTTAGCAAAAAAGGCAAAATAAGAAATACAGTTTTGAGGTTAAGCAGCTTTTTAATACCTAATACATTGCTATGCTTATTGCGGTTATTTCTAAGTCATGTCACTTCAAAATTGTCAACAAAAATCCCATTTATTTATTTATTTTGAGGCAAGATTTCATTATATAGCCCAACCTGGCCTCAAGCTCACAATATTCCTACCTCAGTCTCCCAAGTGCTGGGATTATATGCATGCACCACTCAAACCTGGCATTTAAATTTTTGGCTAGGAGGGGAAGACATGAAATTATAGAAATTATCCCTTGACTTATTCTTATTTTTTGGTCTCTTCCCATTCAAATGGAGCTTTGGGATTCTTGAGTTCAAATTTTGTATTGATTTCTTTACTTTTGATTAAGAGGATCTTCAGCATCCTTAACGGTTGTTCTCTTTGCTATGAATTAGGTATCCTAACTTATATATATCTTTTGCTTGCTTTTTAATAGAATTTCTTCTCCATATTTTGTGTTTTTGACTTCCTCCTTTTACTAAAAAATGTTATAATCACTCCTCACCTCACAGTAGCTGATAGCCACTGTCCATGGCAGATGAGGGTCAGTCTTTCACATGCACACCACACCTAGGACTGTGCAGTTTCCCCAGGTGTGGTTTGACTTGTATTCTCATGACTCCTGTCATATAAGCTTTCCCATGCTGCAATCAGTGCATGTTAGGCTCCCAAGTTTGAATTTTGCTCTTTTTTTTTCCCATTGTTTTGCTGGGTAGGGGTGCATTGTGGCATTTATAAAGGTTCTTACAATATGCCAAATACATCATAGTTGAATAAGAGGATCTCAGCTTCTTTGATGAGTCTGTGCTGGGTTCTTGGACCGAGATGTGTTATAGTTCACTTTGAACAAATCCTGTCAGTGCATGTGAGCGCGAGAGAGGGTGTGCCTGCGGAAGCTTGAGCACTGAGCCAAGCACTCAATCTCTCTTTTTCTTACCTACCACTCACCTGCTGAGTTCAGTTCGGTGGGCATTATAGTACTAGTTAAGTAAAACTTTGGGTAGCACTAAACATTGACACTAACAGGGAACTCAAACTCTTTTGCTGACCTGTTGAAATTTAAAAAGTAAATAGTAAGGTTAGGGTTTATATTGAGGAGCTGGATGAAAACATGCTATTTATTCTTACTCTGAAATTGAGCCTGCTAGATTTACTGATGTACTTTCCTAAAAGCATAATTATTATGCAGCTGATCATAGAGCAACTTTAGATTCTGGGCACTTTTACTTTTATCTTAATTCCATACCACTATTTGTAAAGTAAGCAAGATACATAGGAAGATCAGGTGCAGTCATGTAAGACATCAAATTCAGGTCTAGATACATAAAACTAGTCCTACAGTGGTTCCAGAATTATTTACATACTATGAGAATTCCTTTTAAATGTACAGAGGTGTCAGTCCAAAATCAATATGCTTTTAAAACTCGCTACTAAGACACTTACAAGCAGTTGTTTAAAAATGTATTTATTTTTGTTTTTCCAGTGTTGTACATAAGTACACAGAAGAGAAGGATGTGAAGACGCCAAGCAGCTCATTTCATAATTGGACATGCTTTTTATGAAAATTGTCTTTGGTTCTTTTTGTGATATAAGTTCTCATGTTTTCATTGTAGTTGTGATTTTTTCACTGACATGTGATTAAGATGTATAAAATTATGTGTTGAATTGTAAAGAATTTTTCACATTTAAGTTTTCAGTCATTTTCTTTTACCTGTATGTCAGTATACTGAGTGCTAAAAGAATTAAAGAAATACCAACAGCTATTTCTTCCTACAAGGTTATTTAACTTAAGGCTCAAGTAACATCTTTTGATTTAATTTGCTCTACTCTGTTGACTACACTGTTGCATACACGGACATATAAGTAAAACATTCTTTATCCCTTCTCTGCTACTCACCATCCATACACCACTCAAAACACTTGGTGAAAATGTTCTACAAAGGCATACAGTTTCAGTCTGAGCTATAAAAAGGGGCCATGAAGTCATAAGCTCAGCTGCTGATTCAGTCACCTAGATAGAAAATAGAGTGAGGAATCTTAACAGTTGCACTTCCACACAAGGAGTGGGAATCTCAGTTGAGTGGGGGAGAAATTCTAAAGATTATCCATATGCCAATTAGGTGAAAACCTTCCTGTCACAGCCACCCTGCTGCAATTCCTATGCGGTTAAGCTTTACATTTTCAGCATTTTCTCCCTTTCTGGAGCCTTGGCATCAATGTCTATACAGGAGAGGAAAAACTGTCCAATCCAACTGTGGCAGTCATTTAGATTAGAGCAAAACCCAGAGTTTATAAACTCATTCAAGTTCCAGTTGCTAAACTGTGTCTGGGAAAAAATCCCTCCTGCCTCTTGCTTACAAGTGGCTTTGGGGGAGCCTTTCTCTAAAATCAGAGTCAAGTTTGAGTGAGACATCACCAAGGAGAGAAGCCACCAGGTTTGTGTGGCTCCTGCTGAGAGGGTTTGTATCATTTATTAATGCTTGGTTCACTGAACAGTTTTATGCTGTCCCCGGGAATAACAAATATATCTGGGTGCTGTGGTTGAATGGACACCAAACAATTGTGTGGAACACTATATTGGTCTTCCTCTTCCCTCTTTCCCTACTCCAAACAACCCCTGATTTGGGAACTCCTGGTGTGGTTTAAAACAATTGCTGATTGAAGGATGAGGAACAAGAGATAGGAGATGGTACTGGTTCTGTTTGGTGTTTGTGTTTTATTTTAAAGATCAGAGTAATTGGAAACAATTATTTTTTAATTAATAACTCAGAAAACATGAACAGAAGCATTTCACAAGGTTTTACTGTGTGCACACTGAAAACAAAACACTTTATGCTGTGCTTCAATAATTTATCACTTCTTGACGGGCTTGAAAAGGGTCCCGTCTGTAAGTACAAATCATCAGTTTGCTCTTTTATAAATGATTTCTTTTAAGGAGAAAATGGCTGTCCCTCCAAGTGGAGCACACATGTTCTCATTTGTTTTGTAGAGTATGTCGGCTGCTAGGTTACTGTATCCCTTCCTTCACATTCATTGCCACCTCTAAAAGCAGTTGCGTTATTACCTCCCACCAATCTGTAGCATCCTATTTTTGCTAACTCATTCCCTGACCTCCCCTACAGTATGTAAGTCTTTATTTTTCCCTTGCCATCTCTAGTTTAATAGCTCTACAGCAGAGTAGTAGCGTGTTCATCCATAGAACTACTTTTAATCAAGATCGACTTTGGCAAATGCTGCCATTTTTATGGTAATAAGGGGCTGTATTATGAACTTGGACCAGTGCAAGTTGTCCCCTGTGTCCACCTTCACGTAGTACAAACCGTGAAACAAAGTGTAAATGCTAGAATTACTTTTTTCTTAACAGTCTCCTAGAGGTCAGCAAATGAATTCCAATTGCATCATTGCAAAGACATTTGTTCTAGGTTGAAGAATTTTTCACTTGAGTAAATATATTCTCCCTGTCTCTGTGCCCCCAAACCCTGGCTGTCACACTCTTTCTCTTGGGCTGTGACAAAACAGAATGTTTAGCGGGAAACAAAATTGTGCTTGATTTTTAGACTATCTGACTTCACATTCTGTTTTGGTCTCTGAGCTATTCCTTGGCTAATCTTCCAACAAGTAAAATTGATTCTTACTTCAAAACTGTTTATCCCAAAACAGAGCTGTTGACAAGTACAAATACAGATGGCAGACATGTGGTCTGATTTTCATGTTCTCGTCTCAGCATTCAGGGAGGGAATGTTACTGAGAGATGGTTTACATCTTGAGTTTCTTGTTCAAGGCACTATGTAATGTATGCTAGGAGTTCCTAATTATGTGACAAATAGTAACAAATGCTTAGGGGATTTCCTTAAGGTTGGAAAACACAGCAGCACAGACTTGGTGTGTAAGGCTTATCACCCTGGAGGCTGTAATTATCTGCTTCAGAAGAACAGAAGCAGTCTCCAGGGGAAAATTGTCTGATAATCATACTGACCCCTGTGGCCTCAGTGCAGCATTCCAGGATCCAGTCTGCTCCCTCACTGTGGGTGGACAGCACCCATCTTTGCACTAACCTTTGTCCTCAGAGCAAACGTCCTCCAGAAGATTGGCTTGCTCTTGCACTGGGGGCAGCTCCTGGCCTATGCTGTGACCTTGCTGTTCTTCCCAACCAAACTGCATTAGCCATTGTTTTTCTCCACAAAAAGAAATAGTTGGAGAAAGGAAGACAAACTGCAGGGTTTTTTTTCTCCCCTAACCCCGTTCCAGAGGCTGTGCTCAAAGCATGCCTCTGACTGCCTCATAAGGTGGCCCTGGTCACTGCTGAGCCAGGCTCCTTTTAAGAGTGCAGGGTCAGTCATGACCTCTCTGGAGTCTGAATATTCCACAACTGCTTTAACTCTGTTACACCAGTACATGGCAGTGTGACCATGCATGTCTCTTGACTAACTGGCCTTCACTCACCACTGGCGTCCAATTGTCCTGAGTGGAGGCAAGACTGCAGAAGTGTACAGTGGTGCAGGTCATGTGTGCCAGGACACTGAAGACAGCCTTCCTCTCCTGCTCTCGGCCTGCTTCCTCCTTTTAGAAGGGAGTAGGGATTTGAGAAGGTGCGCCAGAAATCAGTTCAACAGCTCTTGACTGGCCACTGGGCAGGTACTGTGCTGTCTTACGGGGAAACATGACTAAGACATTCATGCCCTCTGAATAATGGAGGCTTGTGTGTAAGTTTGGATAATTTCAGGGGAAACTGATGCCGTATCATTTTTTTTTAAGTTGGGTCAAATTGTGAGAATTCTTTTTAAAATGTAAATACTTCACATGCATTTGATAATCTCAATTGTGTTCATACCTTGAAATTCCAGATAAATTCAGGACTGGATAATTTTGAAATCCGATTATTTCCACCTACTATTTGTCCATAGGCCCATGTGGTTCAACTTCCCATCTTTAAATGCTTTTTTTAATTCCCATCTAACAGAAACCAGAATTTTCTGATTCCAATGAACAAGCATATTGGATGTTTATTTGGATACCAGTTTTGATTCATCTGCAGTATTGATTTTCTTTTCTTAGTAGTTTGAAAGTTACAGCAGATAGAAAGATGGGCATATTCTAGAACTTCATAAAATCAACACTGGAACAGTTGGGATAGACTAGTTTTCAAGGCCTACTTTACAAAAATGTTGAAGTCCATATGGACTCCATTTATTCCAGGTTTTATAATGGAATGGGTGCTGGTGGGTTTGTCAAAATATACCTAGAATTGGATTAAAAGAGGTCAGTTTGTGGAAAGTTTACATGACATAATCTTAGAGAAGTAGTTTTGTGACCATGATGTATATACAATATTCCAAATCATTATTCAGTGTTTATGTCAAATTAGAATTTCTATTGTACTTGCAGCAATAGGGAAAAAATTAAGAATTTGTTATGTGTACAGTGAATAGGTGTTGCTAGGACACCATGCAACTTTTTGCCCCAAGTGGTGTATTACAGACAATCTCTGAATCTCAGTGGTGTGAAACAAGTGATTCTCACTCATGCATGTTCACAAGGGCCAACCAGGGAGGCTGTGCTCTTTGTGGTCACCAGAGGCCCAGGCTGCACCTGATGTTTTCACATCTCAATGTGAGGACTTGGGGCTTACTGCTACAGGGGAAGAACATGAAGGACCTCTCCCTGGGCCTTAGGTGCTTTTGCTTAGAAGTGACACCAGTCACTTCTACTTCATGTCATTAGCCAAATCAAGTTGCGTGGCCATGGTTTGCTAAGTTTTCCAGGAAAAGTGTTAACAGACTCAAAGAGAAATTCAGAAATACCAGTGAATGTTGGTGATATGTAGTAATCACACTGCTCCAGGGAAATGGACCTGAAGATGAATGTAGAGTAACATATCATAAGGAATTGACTCACAGTTGTGGAGGCTTGGCAAGTCCAACATCTGCAGTGTAGGCCCGCAGCTAGAAGAATTACAGTTCAGATTCCTCTCTTCCTTTGAGGAGGTCAGTGCCCACTGTCGTGGGTGGGGATGAAGCCCACCCATGAGATGAAGGGTCATCTCTTTGACTCAGTCAGCTTTTTAAATGGTGATCTCATCTAGAGAATATCCACACAGCAACATCTAGGATAATGTTTGACCAAGCAACTGAGTACTGTGGCCTAGCTCAGTTGTCATAAAAGTAACCATCATGATGTGTTAGTCATATCCTTTGCATTAGAGATGCTCTTAATCCTTCATAAGGCACACAGGAGAAAAACACATCATTTTACTGCATTTGAAGAAAGAATCTTTGCAAAAATGGGTCAAGGGACCTGTGCTCTTGTGTCTTAATCCCTTCATTAGACCAAAAATAAGGTGAATGTGGTTCCTACATGGTTTCAGAAGCTGAGTCTGGATAAGATCTTTAGGTTTGGTTTCATTCTTTCAGGTGAACTCACAAATTCCCCGCTAATATATTTCTAGATTTCAAAGACAATGCAAAGTAAGAGCAATCTTTCCATAAACCAGGTAAATATTATCTTGAGCCAAACAGACATGTGCTCTACCCATACCATGGAGAGATGACCAGGGAGCCTTTGGTATACATTAGAAGAACCAAGCTCTGTAATATGTTTCAGAGGCACAGCAATGTATTAGATCAAAAGCATAGACTTTACTCTAGATTTACATGGTTTGGTTTTCAGTGTATTCCAAACCATTCACAAGTATCTTTATCTTGAGAAAGTATGTGCTGCTTCTGGTTCAAAGATAATGCTGTCAGGAGGACCTGAGTTTCCAGTTTGCTTTTTAACTTTGTTTAATCATGATGTCTTTGACCATACTTGCTTCCCAACCCTTTCTCCTTCCCCTGGAATTTCTGACATTGTTTCCCCACAGTGGAGGGAGTAGAGGAGCCACAGGGGATCACCGCTACCTCCCTGATCTTATTAGCCCCTGAGCTAATCCTCACACTTTCCCCTCGTGGCCACTGAACCAGGTCTTTTCCAG